GCTCTTGGGACTGTGATGCCATGGGACTCAGGGTCAACTGTGAAGCAACACAGCAGTGACATGATCTCGTCTGGCCCTCACAACCCTTCAAGACGGACAAGGCAGGTTTAGAGCTCGGGCACAGTGATCTGGTCAGGCTAGTAAATCACAGAGCCAGGACATGAACATAAGGTCTCTAGCTCTCTTCCCACTATAAAGTGCTCCTTCATCACTGTCAAACATTCATCAATAGGTGCTGATCAATTAGCAATCTGTCTCACTAAAAGTCCTAGTATGCACCATATTAATCAAGTGAATAGGAAGGGAACGACTCCTAACTCCAGTGTAGAAGCTTCTCTACCTCTCTCTCTCCCCCCATCTCTGTGTATCATTAAGATTCTAGAGAAATGGGGAATACCCAAGGGACTCTTAACCCACTAAGCACACAACTGATACCAACGTTAGCTATTAACATCATTTCTATGTTTTATTTGAAGTAGAGGATGATGTAAACATTCTAACCAGGCACAAAACAAAAACAAAACCTCTTGGTGATGACTATTCACCCAGCCAAGAAGCAAGACTGCATGCCAGCAAGACATTCCGGACAGGACATGCGGACCCACCTTCAGGAACTCCTTCAGGAGAATTTCGGACTGTTGTTCAAACTCGTCTTGAATTTGAATTTGGTAATCCATGTCCAGATAAGTAGGGTTGATCCACTCATACAAAATTTCATGCTTACAAAGAAGCAGCAGATGCAAAAGGTGAGTTAATTCCTATTGCTTTTGTTCTCACATCATTTCACAGTAGTAAAATAATACATGCACATACTCAATTTATAATTGTCTCCTTTTTAAATATCAAGTGCTGGGAAAGTGCCTGAGAAGGACACCAGCCAAGTTTATCTAAGGGAAGTGGAAGGGAAAGCTCAAAGCCTGGTTTCATTATCAGGAATAGCCACTTTGGAAACCACAAAAACACCTGGTATGCTATAGCCGCTAAGATAAGAACCCGGCAGCAGGCACTTATCCTTACATCTCGCGGGATATGGGGGCTCCGAGGTATGGGAGGTTCAAAGTAGGTGGGAGGCCTGGCCAGGGAAGGACCATGAAACCAGCCGCTGATAGACAGACGTGACTTTTCTTCAGACAGGACTTCCGACACCTGAAAGGACAAAACCAATGGCACATCAACCCAAAGACTGAGGAGGGAGGTTCCAGCCAAGACACAGGAACTTCCAGATCCTTCACGCTAGGAGTGAAAACGACCTGGCCAGCCAGGTCTAACGGGAACGAGGGACTATAAGGCCTGAGCCTTAGTGCCCTATACAGCTGTGGCTGACAAGCTTTACCTGGTGAAAGGACACTGGAGACACTTCAAAGAAAACCAGTGTGTTCCACGAAGGGATAAGGGACTTGACAATCTGCTTCGGCTGGAAGTGTTCTGCACCAGGAGAGAACATACCCACAAACCAGTTAGCACTTACCACTTCCAGGCCACCCCGTTTCACCCTGACCTCAGATTTCTACGTGTCTCTAAACATACCCTAATCCCCAAATACCACCCTTCCCGCTATTTCGCTCATACTTGCTAGTTCTGCCAGGTGACACCTGTTCCTCCTTACACCACCCATTTATTATTGGATGAGGGCTGACAGCTTCCTGGAGGCAACCTCTGGGGTCAGTCATTACAATAAAAAAACCCGATGCCCAGCCAGCGTAGCTCAGTGGTTGAGCATCGACCTATGAACCAGAAGGTCACGGTTCAATTCCTGGTCAGGGCACATGCCCAGGTTGTGGGCTCAATCCCTAGTGTGGGGCATGCAGGAGGCGGCCGATCAATGATTTTCTCTCATAGTGATGTTTCTATCTCTCTTTTCCTCTCTGAAATCAATAAAAATATATTTATTAAGCAAGATAAAACAACCTGATTTCCTGTCAAATGGACTGGTCCAGGCAGATTCACAGGCAGCTGTACATGGTTTCTGTTACCCTCCCATGGTCTGTATTCAGACGCCAGGTCTGACTGCTCCTCATCTAAATCAACTCTAACTTATCTCTGGAGTGATCGTTATCTCAAGGACACCTCAGGGAGGCCCTTGTCAGGGTGGCATCCACTCCTCCTGCAGCAGCCACTGTAATCATGGCTTCCATTTCCTTGGAGTGCAGACACTGTGCATAAGGATTGGGAAGTGGCCATGGGCGGTGAAGAGCATGCGTGTGTCTTACCATCAACGCTGTACAGATCCAGGGTGCCCCCCAAGCTCCTGTCCCAGGGAGGAACCAGGTAAAGGATGAAGGCGATCCGGCGCCCCTCCAGCTCATCATCGTGGCAGAGCAGGGCATCTGCAAGGTGAATGCACAGCTGCATGTCCCTGCGCAGACAAGGAGCAGCTGGCACCCGACCCTGCATTTGTCAAGCCTTCTGACATTCATCTGTAACGTCAGCTCCTCCAGCCTTACAGTGACACTGACTTCTCTTTTATAATTATAGAAATAAAACTGCCAATTCTAAAAACACTGAAGAGCATGTCTGTGGTTAGACATAGAATCACTAACAATATTTTTACGTATTTCTTCCAATATTGTTTCTACATACGTGTTTGCTTTAGAAAAGAAATGGTATTCTTGGTGGTTGTTTGTGGCCAGCTTTTTAAAAAATTACTACATGGCAAGTGTGTTTCCATATGTTTCATCTCTTAATGGCTGCATAGTTATTTTACTCTATGGATTATGAATCACTCCCTCCCCCTTTAATCAATCTTCTATGTTACGCTGTTCCCCTTTCTTATCTACTAATAATGTTTCAATGGAAATTATTGCACAAAGATCTTTTTGTACTTGTTCCCATTAATTTCTCGAGTTAAACTTCTAAAACCCATGCGGTGGGGTTGAGCAAGGTGGGGGCCGTGCAGGGTGGGAGAGGAAGTTATGCTACAGTGAATAAATACATTAAAGATAATGTAAACCAGGTTTCTCAGTCAAAGAAGGGAATTACAAATATGAAAAAGGAGAACACTAGAAGGAACCCTATGCAATGTATGATCCTGGACTGGATCCTTTTGCTGTAGAGCACCAAATAATGGAACTAACTGATTTTAATGGTTTATCACTATCATGTAGGAGAATGTCCTTGTAGGAATTACTGAAGTTATTCACGGAGCATAACAACTGTAACCTACTTTCAAGTAAAATGGGGGAAAAAGGATTTGTACTATGTGTGCCACTTTTCTGTTAAGTTTGAAATTACTGCAAAATAAAAAGAAAAAATAAAGTTAAATAATCATCTGATATGAGTCTTCAGGTGTATCACCAAGTTATCCTTAAAAACTTGTTGCTAAGTTAAACTTCCCAGACAGGAGTTAAATCCAAAACAACAACAAAAAACACACTTTTCCTTCTAGGCAAAATACCAAAACATGTTTTCAAAAAGACATGTAGATGCTCAGAATGGGAACTGGGAGGATGCACCCCAAAATGGTGACAATGGATACCTCTGAACAGTTTGGGGGGCAGGGGTTTGAACAAAGAGCAGGTGAAGGGGACTATCACGGTTTACGCTGTATATTCTATATTGTTTGAGTTTTTTTCCTTAAAGAGTATATTTACTTATTACCTTCAAACTTAAAAAGAAAAAATGACATTGAGGGAGGCATTTGTTTCTTACGCAGTCTAAGAGGAGAGTTTACAACATCACTCTGAGTTTCCCATATTGTTGGTATGTGGAAAGTTGGTATGTGTGTTGTCAGCATTTTTCTGAAAATATGGTCAATAGCTTTCATCATATTCCCAGAGAACCACTGCCTTATACCTTCCAATATGAAGGGCATTTCTGTGTATGAGCCAGGTCAGATCTTCCTTATTAAGATCCTAATGATATACAGGGGCACAGTCCAGGATTTTGATACACTGACACTATCTGTCTTTCTACCATTGTTTAGATAAGGCCTTTAATCTTACAGACATCAGATCTTACCTGAGAATTCATATTTAGCACAGGACATGTCAATGGTTGATTCCAGGTCAATCTTGGAAATGTCAGAAAGCCAAGCCCGGAAATCTTCAAACAGAACTTTCCTAGAAATGCAAACCAGATAACTTGTGATGTCACACTGTGGCCTACATGTGGGTAAATGCCACAACTGTTTTTTCCTGGAGGTTGCTGTGTCTTCAAGAGATCTATTCCCCAGAGTCTTCCTCACTTTAAATTTGCATAGTTTAGGGCTAATGTTCCCAGAGCACATCCTTAATTATTTGCTGAGGATAAATTTGTATAAGTAGAATCACACTACAAAAAGAAAAAGCCTAATTTGAAGGGCTTTGGTACATCTTTCAAAACCACTTCTAAGAAAGACTGCAGCAGAGTATAAAGGTATCTATATTTCTGTCAACACGGGAGTTTTTGTTTTTAATATTTGCCAACCTAATTTGTGAAGAATGGTAACTTCAGTGTTAATTTGTTTCCTTGACTACTCACTAAGCTGAACATTTTATCACTGAGAATTTGGACCCTGGGATCAGAGAGACTCAGGCTTGTATCTTAGCTCCCTCGATTTTTACCGAAGTGGCCTTGAAGAAGTTACTTAATTTCCCACAAAGGAGGCTGTTTCCTCCTCTACAAAATAAGATAATACGTCCACAGAGATTTAAGACATAACATTTTAAAGCATTTACTAGCCAGCCTGGCACATAGTAGGCACCCAACAAATATGATCACTTGTTTACCTTAAAGCACAGATGTGAGGTTCTTTTCTCTCCTTCAAATCGTCAGACTTGATCGTGAAAAGAGAAAAAGAAGATTTCCTTCATATATGAGTCACAACATCAAGGCAAGGTCCCCGCCCAAGGCAAACCCAATCTAAAACCTCAAGTGCAAAGGTACAGAATGATTTTTTTGTAAATAAGTTTCTGAAGTGGAAGAACTAATGGGAAAGGCCATAAATACCTGCTGGAACTTATATAAATCATTATACTTCTCATGGAAGTCCAAGCTCAAGAGCTCCTTCTGAAGCCCTTCCAAGAAGTTTTGACTTGGGATGAAGTTTGGGATCACGCAATGCAGAAAGGGGTCCATGTCCATGATAATGGCTTCTGTTGGGAAGAAAACATTACGGCTTATTTTTCTTTTGTATTTTTGACTCCTGAGCAGCATAGTACAGAGAATACAAAAGGGGATGGTCAGGAATTTTCAGGAATTCGAAAGTCTCAGATTTTGGGGATGATAAGCTGTTCCCTTTTTTTCTTTAATCACCCAACACTACTTTTTAATGATACTGTGCTTAAAATATTAGGCCTTAAAATGAGTACAGGTGATATTACTAAGATTTTAAAGTCTTAATTTATCCCCCACCCACACACACATTTAAAACGAGAGTAGCAAATTAAAAATGAGAATAGCAATACTGGCTGGCAATTTTCCTCAACCCTTTTTCTTTTCCTAAGTTGCTGTCTAAGGCAGTTAGAACATACATACTTTGTGGTTTTTTTTTTTAAAAAAACAACAACAGTTCAGACATAACCCCTTCCAATTCACTTTTCCCACTGCCTCTGGTGGGTTAGATTATGTACCCATCTAACAATCACCCCTAGCCACCAAGCACAATGGTGCTTTGCATGCAGTATCTCATTTAATTTTCCCTACCACAGGCTAAGGCAGGCACGATCACGGTCTCCATGCCACAGATGAGGACATTGAGAAATCCCTGCGTGTACAGACTTTGCACTTTAAACACTGAGCTATCATGTCTCTCTTTTCTTTTCTAATTATGCGGGCATCCTGGTATAGTTAACAACAGAGTTGGCAGAAACCAGGCCCAGGATGCCAGCCAGCTTCTGGCTGCTGTTCTCCCAGCAGTGTAACACTTACCTAGGTACGAGGCCACCTAGGCAGCTGCCTACGGCTGGGGCTATCATGCGAACTTTAGAAGGGAAAGCATGATGCATCGAGCGGAGTTCTTATGGTATAAGGCAGTGGTTCTCAACCTTCCTAATGCCGCGACCCTTTAATATACAGTTCCTCATGTTGTGGTGACCCCCAACCATAAAATTATTTTCGTTGCTACTTCATAACTGTAATGTTGCTACTGTTATGAATCGTCATGTAATCTATCTATCTATCTAATCTATTCTATCTACTATCTATCATCCACCCACCTACCTATCATCTAAAACCCTATTCAAATCGACCAAACTGCAGAAGGACTGGTCGCTATGACGCGCACTGACCACCAGGGGGCAGACGCTCAAGGCAGGAGCTGCCCCCGCAGCCCGCAGGCCCCGACCAAGGCAGGAGCGAGCGGGGCATAAACAACCGAGTAGCTCCGGTGCCGGCTGCTACTCGCTCAGATGCTCTGGCTGCACTGTCACGGGACCACCGAGCATTACCTTCAGAACAAAATATCACCTAAACCACCCACACATGTGTTCAAATGTTTACTGGTCCTTCCCCAGGGAAACATTTATAGAGACAGACATGCGTTAGCTTACTCGTCTCATTCAACATCTTTCCGAGGTAAACACCATTTAGCTACCCCATTTTATGTGTTAAGGAACTGGAATTTTAAAAAGTTGAAAAGTTGAACCCATTGACAACCAGTCGAGGGATTCCAGAATTCAAGTAGTCATCTTTGGTTCCAGAATCCAACTCAGAACGCTCACGCCCTCCACTTCCACAAACTCTCCGACCTACATGTCCGCTCTCCTCGGGCTCCAGATGCACACTGACCTCGCAATGAAAGCGGGGCAGCAGGGCAGGCAGGAGGGTCGGAGGCGCCAAAGTCACGCTCTCTCCAACGGCTTCTACCCTGGCGGCCCCGCTCCCGGGCTCGGCTCGAGCGCCAGGGCTTTCAGAGGCCCCAGATCCCGCGCGGTGGCTGCCCCCTCACAGCACCCGGTTACCGTGACTGAACGGCGTCCTGCAGCTCCAGGCCTCAGCCACCTGCTTCTTCAAGGCTTCCTCCGTAACCGCGTCCGAAAACTCCACCATCACCTCCTTCTTCCTCTTTTTTCCCATCCGGTCCGGGTTAGGGTCAGGGGGCCGTTTCCCATTCATCTCCTCAGAAGCTGCAGACCCACGCCACACACACACCAAGCGGCTCACGGAGACTACAATTCCCAGAATGCGCTCTTTCTCAGCGCCACCCAATAGGAAGCGCGGAAGCAAGAGGAGGAGGAACCCATACCTGATCTACCAATGGGAGCTCAAGATATTGCGACATCCCACCAGCCGCCGGTCCAGTGGTTGCTCGGCCTGGCTGGCTCCCGCCTCTCTACTTCCTGCCGCCCGAGGCTCTGGATGCACTTCCGGCGGGCGTCCGCCTCCTGTAGAGTTCTCACGTTAATGGCGGGCGGCGGCTGCTGAGTGGGAAGCCGACAACCGCTGCCCGCACCGGGGAAATCTCCCTGCCTCTCCCCGCTTTCCGCTCGCCGCCAGTCCTCGCCAGCATGTCCGTGGTGCCGCCCAATCGCTCGCAAACCGGCTGGCCGCGGGGGGTCAACCAGTTCGGCAACAAGTACATCCAGCAGACCAAGCCCCTCACCTTGGAGCGCACCATCAACCTGTAAGTACGGCCTGGCCAGCCCGAGCTGCCTTCCCCTCCGGAGTTCTCCGGCCGTCGCGCCCCGGCCATCGCAGGCTCTGTGCCTCCCCGCCTCCCCACCACCCCCCTCCCGCTGGCGAGTGCACGCCTTTACCCCCTGCAGGCCCCTTCCACGTTCGCCAGCGCCAAGGGGTTTAGATCCTGTCTTACGTGGGAGGGTTTTTCTTCTTCAGGAGGAAGGCTGGTTCCCATGCGCTTGTATTCCTGGGAAGATAGCTAGTTTGCTTTGAATTCATCCTTTCCTCCACCTCCCCGCAGATAACCCGCAAAATATGGTGTCGATCTTTCTAACAGTTTTCGAGACCTAGCTCTAACGCAGTGGTTCTCAGCCTTCTGGCCCTTTAAATACAGTCCCTCATGTTGTGACCCAACCATAAAATCATTTTCGTGGCTACTTTGTAACTGTAATGTTGCTACTGTTATGAATCGTAATGTAAATATCTGATATGCAGGTTGGTCTTAGGCGACCCCTGTGAAAGGGTCGTTCGACCGCCTAAGGGGTCGCGACCCACAGGTTGAGAACCACTGCTAATGCGTAGCGTTAGTTGTTTTTTTTTCTCCTAATAAAACGGCTGTTTGCATTCCAGCTCATGCACACACATTTCACTCATGGGCTCGGGGCTCTCTGGCAGGCCCGGTGCATTCACATAAGTCTCTGCCGCAGCGAGAGCATCCAGCCGCTCGGGAGGGTGGGTGCGGGGACGGTTGGGCTTGAAGACCCTGGAGGAGCCTTTAATGCCACCCCCGGGAACCCTGGGGCTGTAGCTGTAGCTGCGTTTTGTCATCTGCACCTTTCCGCGTGAGCACTTCAAGCCATTGCCTTTCGAGGCCACTCTTGCTAGGAATCTCGCCGTGGCAGGTCCTTGGCCGTGGGCTGCGTCTCACTCAAGAAATTGCCCTGAGAGTTTGTGAGGCGCTGCGATGCTGGCCTGCATGGAGGACATGGCCACTTCATTCTGGTCGGTGTTTAAAAGCTGCAAGGGTTTGCCCTGGGTGTGCGGCTCTTCAGTGGGTTGAGCATCCTCCATTGCACCAGGAGGTCTCCGGGTTGAGTTCGGGTCAGGGCACAAGCCCGGGTTGAGGGCTCCATCCCCTGTGGTGGTGGTGGTGGGGGGGGCATAAAGGAGGCAGCCTATTAATGTTTTTCTCTCTCTCTACCCCCTTCGCTCTCTAAAATCATAAAAACATACTTTTTTTTAAAAAAGGTGCAAGGATTTTCTGATATTGGCCAGTCAGGGCTGGTATTGATGTTTTGATAGACATCTTAGATGTTTTCTCTGCTTCATGTTTAAATCAATGAATTTCCCTCCTTCAAAAGCGAATTGAAATTGAAAAGATGGTTATTGTTTTATTTGGCAAAGTAGATGCTTGCTTGGAAATGTAGATAATAAAACTTTGGGGCTTATGAAATCTGGAATTGGTAGATAGTTGCGTCTATTCAAGTGAATAGCTATTACATTAACATCATATTTCATTGCATAGCGCTGCTTTTAAGAATCCTCATAAGATTCCTGTGTGGGAAAGGCAAATGCTCCCCTTTTAAACAGTGAAAGCACAGCCTGTCGTGGTGATTAGAACCAGGACTCAGTTTTCCCTTGGTTTGCCTTGATTATTGGATCAGTTTGCCTGTGTGGGAAAGGCAAATGCTCCCCTTTTAAACAATGTGAAAGCCAGCCTGTAGTGGTGATTAGGACCAGGACTCAGTTTACCCTTGGTTTGCCTAGATTATTGGATCAGTTTGCACTAAGCCCTTACGTAGAATTAACTTGGTGAAAATGTTTTAATCTTTGCTCCATTAAAGTTATGGGTTGATGGATTTACAGTTCTTTTCCTCTCCTATATAAATACAGTATTCAGAAATAATTGTGTTGTAAATCAATTCATGTGTGAGTAAAGATATAAGTTGAAGTCCTTTCCTTCCCCCGCCTCCCGCAATATATATTTTAATTGATTTCAGACAGGAAGAGAGAGGGATAGAAGCATGAATGAGGAGAGATAATCACTGATGGACTGCCTCCGCATGCCCCACACTGGGTTGAGCCCACAACCCCGGGCATGTGCCCTGACCGGGAATCGAACCCTGACCTCCACTGAGCCACCATGGCTGGGCTCGAACTAACTTTGTAAGTTTTGGCAACCCCTTCAGGAATAGCAGAGCGGATTAGTTACGCAGTTACTGACTTCATGTCAAGGCATTTTTATAGAATAGATAGATACCTTGGGGATGGACAGTGTGGTCAAAGCATTCTGACTCAGAGGCTTAGAACCAGAGGCTTCTTACTGTAAATCTCATGATTGAGGGGTTACAAGGTGATATGTGTGATAAAATGGTATTTTTAAGGAAAAATTTGATCTTTGCTAGGCAAGATGAAAACCGTCTTCAACAGTCATATTTTGATAAAGAATATTCAGATTGGGTAGAAGATAATGAATGAAGAGAAGGGAAGAATAAGGATAATGAATGAAATAAATGCTGAAGGCTAAAAGGTTTTAGAGGGAAAGAAAAGTTCATCTAAAGAGGAAAGGGTTATAGTACTAAAAATGTCTGAGGATACTTGACTGGGAGAAGTAGAAAAAACAGAAGAGATGATGGAAGCAGTAGCTCAACTTTTAGACAAAAGAGATTAGCCATTTAGGCTAATAGGATTAATACAATTTCTGATTACCTGTCAGAGGAGCCCAAAGCGACACAACAAGTACATCCAGCAGACCAAGCCCCTCACTATGGAGCATACAATCAATCTGTATCCTCTTACTAATTATACTTTTGGTACAAAAGAGCCCCTCTATGAGAAGGACAGCTCTGTTGCAGCCAGATTTCAACGCATGAGGGAGGAATTTGATAAAATTGGAATGAGGAGGACTGTAGAAGGGGTTCTGATTGTACATGAGCACCGACTACCCCATGTGCTACTGCTACAGCTGGGAACAACTTTCTTCAAACTGTAAGTGTTGTTGGAAATTAACAGCAAGACAGCTTTTAATAAGGTTGCTGTTTTATGCAGCTTTGGAATATAGTTTTCACTCAACAAACATGGCTGTTCATGAAGTCTTTAGAAAAAGAAAAATCACAATTAATTTTTCTGCAGGGCAATGCTCACTTATTGCCTAACCAGAAATCCACATGTCTCTGTATATTGTTGATATTAATGACAGAGCTTGGTAGGAGCCCTGTTAAACAAATTGGTCCAAGATCTGTTACTAGAAGTCATTGTAGCATCGCTAAGAACAATGGATATTATTTCTTAGGATGAATAGTGTTTCCTATTCTTGAAATGGCTTACATTTTTATGGGTAAATTTTTAGTTTTACCATTTAAGCTTATAAATTTCTTGATATACATTTAGTTCACAACTATTTGACCAGATTGTACCAAAAGAGAGGTCTCAAATATTTAGGTTGGCGTTCTGGAAAAATGCCCCATTCTTCAGACTAAAAGAATGTGGTTCATTGCTCTGTGGCTGTTTCTAGACTTCACTCTCGCTAAATAGCTTCCAGAGAAAAGAGATTGGGATGGACTGATGGTCAGCAATTATGTAATGTTTACATTATGCTACATATTTTGTTTGTTTAAAATTAGGGTTTGTGTACTGTTAGTCTGGTGAATTAACGTGAATTCAGCTTTTTATTTCTAGCATATTTTTCCCCTTCACTTTGATTGCCTCATCATGTGACACTGGAATATGTGTGCTGTTCAGTTACTTGATAGAAATAACTATTACTGTCTTCTTCCTATTATCCCAACATTGTATTGAGTTGAAAACTGAAATTCTTAACCTTTATGCAGACCTGGTGGTGAACTTAACCCAGGAGAAGACGAAGTTGAAGGACTAAAACGCTTAATGACAGAGGTATTTTTCTATTTAACCACTTGGATGGTTATATTATTGCCCTTGTTAATACCACCCACTTACTAGATAATTAGGCTTTTTATGTCTTGTGAAAGGATAAGATTATTTTGATTACTTTTCAATAAATAAAACTTAAATCCTGAGTGTTAGTATGTACAATGTTTATTTTCCAGGAGTTGAACTTATACTTACTTTTATTTTTTTCCTTGAAGTGTTTATGTAATAGTAATGATTAACAAAGGCCAATATTTATTGGGCACTTACTGTGCTGTCCTAAATGTTTTACATACAATAACTTCTTTAGTTATCACAGCAGCCCTAGGAAGTAGGTATTATTGTTAACTCCATTTTACTGATAAGAAAACGGGGGCACAGGGAGTTCAAGTAACTAGTTGATGTTTATACATCTAGTAGGTCGACGCTGGAGCTCTGAATGCAGGTAGTTTTGTTCCATGGTAGGCCTCTGTAGGATTTTGAATGCTTTTAAAAATAGAGGCAAATAACAGGGTAAAACAGCTAAGAGTTGAGAGTTATAGCCAGTGGGTGGAGTGTGACGGAACTGCTCTTCGTTGTTATGAAACTTTTCGAACCATTTTTGACTAATTAAAATGTAGACTACAGCTTTGATTAAAACAATATAAGTTTAATGTTTTA